ATATATATATATATATATATATATATATATATATATATATATATATAACACATTGTTCTTTGTATAAGCGTATGTGAGATAAACGCGTTCGCCGCTTTAATAAAATAGAAATTACATTTTTAGTACATTGTGAAAAAAACATCATTAACACTATGTACATATTATGATATTAAACCGAGTTTTCCTGTCACTTATCTTGTTTACACTGTGATGTGGTAATGGAAAATGGTGATAAGTTGCAAATTGATTTGTAAACATAACATGTATTCTATATCATTATAGGGATGCAAGTTAATGGTACTTCAAACTATAGTTGCTGGGACAGTTCTGAAACTAGTATACCGAGTACTATGTTGCTAGGCCAACAAACACCTCAAGAAATGCTTAATCCATTCACTGGTGTGTAATTCTTTTCATTATATAGATAAATAGTTTAATGACGAAGAATATCAATGTACCCGCAAAATCGTGGCCGCACATGATTAATCCCGTAAAAAATATATGCGTTTTTCACATTAGAAGATAATAGAAAAGATTAAAAATATTTAACGATTCACTTATTATTTTTTTTTCATTTGGTTGTGTCCCAGACTTTCCTGCGCAATTTTTGTGGGAACATAGAACGGATTTAGGTAAACATGAAAATGATAGAGAACTTTTTTGTTCAGTTTGACATAATGTATAAATATATAACAGCAGACAGCTCCACTACAGCTCATTTACCATATCGCGTGTGACCATTTACCAATCTTTTTTAATTAATATCTCGAGATTTATGCGAATATCGCAAAACATAGGATTTTTATATTCACTTTAATCTGTTCTACATTCACACAAAATTACGGATGAGAGTCTGAGACATCTTGTGTATATAACTTTTTTCTTTTTTTATTTAATGAAATATTTCGAAATACCTTCCTCCTCCCCTCCTCTCTCTCTCTCTCTTTTTCTCTCACACACATACATACACACACATGAACATTATAAAAGAAAGGAAAAATACGAGAGCTAAAATTACGCAAGAATTCCTCAAATAACTTGTGGAGCAAGTTGCGTGGGTGGAATCGACCTTTCGCGACTGCATGAATAAACAGTATCTTATAGATCTTCTCTCAAGGCACAGAAAATATCTCGCACAGTGAGATCAAGCAGTTACTCTTCTCTCTTTCATCTCGTACAGTGTTATCATAAGATATCTTGTGCGAAATGTCGTATAGAACTAACTTCAATTAGGATAATATGAAAATGTTCTTCCGTAAGGAAATATCGCTATAATTTTATATATCTAGTCATTGCAATTTTTTTTATACCAAATTACGCTAACTAATCTCATTTCTTATTTATCCTGTTTCAGGTATAGAAGGAAAGATGGAACGATTGTCCACTCAAACGCAGGAATCGGGTTTTATCTCTATGCATTCTCAACGAAGCTCATCCCAAAGTTACACCACTGCATCCAGCATGACGTCTAAGAGATCGTCGCAGCAAAGCAGCATTAGTTATAACTCTCAGTCATTCAGCACACAGCAACAGTCGTTTTCTCAGACCAAATTATCTTCGGATAGTAATGGCTCTATTTTTACACAGAGAACGATGACTAGTTCCAAAAGTACTATTAGTACGACTAATATGTCTGGAAATGGGGACTCAGCTTTATTAGAGAAATTGGTAAATGTAAGTGTTGCTACATGTTTTTTTTTGTTTCATTTTCGTATTATTGTATTTCGTATTATTTATGTTTCGTATTATTTTTCTATAAACTGAATCTGATCTAAAGCATAATCGTTTGGCGTATATGTGTGCAGGAAATGGAATCAATAGGTACATCCGATTCTAACGGAGTGCCACCGGCGTTGCCAGAGAAGCGATCCAAACGAAGAAAAGAGCGGCAGCCATCGCAATACGATAACGTACCAGAAAACGAGCATTTAACCACATGCACTTTGCATACCAGTAACGGAGATAGTCCGGATGCCAACAAGCCACCTCCTCTGCCTTTAAAGAAGCGCCACAGTAAGTAATCTTATCTTTCATAACTGTCCATTATTAACAATTGTCGATGTCTATGATGACAAAGGAAGCCTGCAGAATATCTAATGACCATAGTGTTGGTGTTAATCTTTATTTCTCCATTGTTTAAAGATTTACATGAATTCCTAAAGACATTACACTAACAAGTATTCCTCAGAGGCTAATGTAACTGTCTCATGAAGCGATCGTAACGTTTTTCATGTTTGATTCGGACCGGATACATAAACTTAGTCTGTTTACTTTGTATGAATTTCCACATAGATATTAAGATCAAACTTTATAGTTGTCATTCCAAATTACTCTGTGATAGTGGGTTAAAACTGACACAATATTTTGTATCCCTCAGTGTTCCAATCAGTGGCATATTCTGGTAAGTGGGATCCTGCCCACACAATTCAACTACCCCTCAGCAAATACTTTCACGCTAAGTTAATGTTCTACGTTTCACACTTTATCTGAAATTTTTAATTCCAGGCTTCTTACGGCATGTTTTATTGTTATTCTGTCTTCCTTTCATTTGAAAATATCTTGGAAATATGATTTTGTTTGATGTTGAAGCTTGAATTTTTATTAATAATCGCAGCTTATTCATGGCTTATCTTTAATTCGCATTATGGGTACAAGAATTATGGTGGAAGAAATTTTAGCTACGACGCTGGATATTATACTAATCGATGAAACGTACATAACACGTAGTTGATATTTCACTTATTTTCAGTTTGCCTTACTTTCCCACGAAAGAATCGATAAGTTACATTATCATTATTCATGATCATTTAAGACACAAAAAATAATCTACGAGTTTCGCACACGGTACAATGTCCTAATACTAATGAAGGAAAGACAGCTCTTGCGAGCTTACGTGGGCGTCGTAATCTTTTTCTAATTAATTTGACCTTTTCCGTAATAGTCAGTCGACAGTTATGCTCCATCAGTTGTTGAAACGAGCTAAAACTTAGTTTCTATCTTTGCGTCAAGACAAACGGAGTAAAAAGCGAACGAATCGTTAACGTGGAACCATCTTAACTTACGTGACATTTCTTTAATGAAGTCCGCGATTACTGTAACACTTGTTCCCATTGCGGAACAGCTCAATCGTTGAAGTGTAATATTCACAGTAACGCGAAAGATGCTGTTTAAACGGTTTCACACTTATTCCAGTGAGTTGTATTTTTTTCACTTGTACACGTAGCTTGTCGGAATAACAATTACACGATGTGTTGTTGCTTGTGCATCAGTGTTACCAAGCGATCCCATACGTCGTACGCTTTTCAATATCTTTTCGCGGCATATACAAGGTATCTCAGACCTCTATGATCACATTTTACGAGAACGTAGAACGGATTAAGGTGAGCAAAAAAGTCCTGTGCCGTTTTGCGATATTCGCAATAGTTTTCGAGAAATTAATTATTTTGTCTTATTTAATGAGAGCAAAGGAAGCGGCAGCCGAAAGAAAGATGTCTTCGGCCGGCGCGCGATCGTAATACACACGAATCGCGACTCGCTGCGTCCCTCCGCTCATAGCTACGAGACACAGCAAGGCTTGATACACTAACACATATGCATGACATATCCGTGTGCCGAATCGACGCCGAATCGAAACGTGTCGTTGCTTCGACTGCATACGTGCATATGTAGAAATTAAACAACGAAGCGGCAACACACTCTTAGATTCGGCATCGATTCAGCACATGGATATGTCATGCATATAGGTTAGTATATCAAGCCTCGTAGTTAAGGACGGAGGGACGCAGCGAATCACGATTCGCGTGTATCACGGACGCGCGCCAGCCAAAGACATCTTTCTTTTGGCTGCCGCTTTCTTTGCTCTCATTAGCTGACAAAGAGAACACCAGGTGACTGTTCCGGGGATTTTTATGCGCTTTTTACAGGCTGTTCTTGGGCAAAAAAATGACACGTGTCCGACCGTTTCAGCCAATGGGCCATAGTTTTGAAGAAATCGATTTTTAAAAATGACTCTAGTCAGCCGCGGCACACTTGATATGTTTGATTGTCACCGTTGAAAAGCAGCAGCAGTAGCGCAGTAGGTAAAACGTTGGCTTCATATATAGTGGGTTGCGTGTTCAAATCTCGTCTCATGTATTTCTTTTATTAAAAATTTGTTCTTATCTGTAATTATTTATATTATTGTAGATATACACGAAAAAGATTATTTATTTAATTATATTAATATATTTTTTTGATAAATATGCAGAATAATGGACTACCCTCCGATTTTAATAATCTTTGAATATATTATACATTTAACCATCTTGAATAATATTCAAGAGGTTTTAACCGTCGCTCGTTGTTTATTAAAAAGTTATTAACAAAGAAAGTGTAATGAACATAATGCAATTTTCTGATACTATATATACTGATATTGTAATTTCGTATTGTCATGTTTTTCGATAAGTGAAAATTTACATTTCTTACCGGAATGAAATAAGTTATTATTGATATTAGACATATGAAACGTACTTGTAAGGAATGATAAGCCAGTATACGACAGTCTTTCGTATAGTTACCGTTTGACTGTTGAAAAATGAAATTCTATGAATTTCTCGCATTAACGACGAGAAGAATCGAGTTGTTAAATTATTTGTGCGCAAAAAATGTTGTACGTGAAAAAATAAAGTGTCCACGTTGCGAAAATATTGTTAAATTTAATACAGAAGAATTAATTATTTATTGCACCCAACATTATTACAAACAAATTAAAGGTCATAAACGGAAACAAATAATTTGTAATTTTAAAATAAGTGCTTTGAATGGGACTTGGTTTTCGCAGGCAAATTTAGACATTGTTATAGTTTGTCGATTGATCTGCTATGTCCTAAAGATAAATACTCCTCGACAGAAATTTTTGGAGCAGAAACTAAATATTTCCACACATAACAGTGGTACACATATATACAGTGGTAGATTGGACTAACTTTTGTCGAGAGGTAATTATTTTGTATTAATTAATATTTTTATTTTTATAAATATATATATTATAATATTCTAATGTAAGAAACTCGCATTTAGATAATGAAATAATGGTTAATACACAATCAAGAACGAATTAGTGGAGATGGAATTATTATTGAGATTGATGAATCAAAATTTGGACGTCGCAAATATAATCGTGGGCGATTAATTACGGGACAATGGCTTTTTGGTGGCATAGAATGTCATATAAATAGGATATTTATCATGCCAGTTGAAAATCGTAAAGCGGAAACACTTGTGCTACTAATTGAAAAATATATTGCTCCTGGATCAATAATCTACAGTGATTGCTGGAAAGCTTACGAACAAATAGATACAAATATATATCAGCATAAAACAGTAAATCATTCTAAAAATTTTGTTTGATCCAGATACAGGTGTGTACACTCAAAATATCGACCGGCTATGGAGAGATGTGTGTCATAATGTTCCTCAATAGGTCGTAGAGAATATCATTTTAATCATTATTTAGCAGAATTTGTTTTCAAGAAAACATTTAATTTTGATGAACGATTAGATGCTTTCTTTAATGTAATGTCTATTATGTACCTTATATCTGAAAATATAATTTAATTTACGCATTTTATTGCATTTATAAATTTAATTGCATTTATAAATTAATCTTAATTTAAATTTTTTTTTTAATAAGTACTGTAATCTCGAACGACTAGCGGGAGGTTGCGCACCTCGCACCTTTCCCCCTAAAAATTAACCAAACCCAACCTATTGTCATATTAAACGTCAGTTATTGTTTATTAAAGTATTCAACTTTTGTGTTAATGTAACGATAGGTTGAGTTAGGTTAGTTTGGAGGAGGGTGCGGGGGGCGCAGCCCCCTGCTAGTCGTTCGATATTGCAGTTATTCGATATTACTCGTTAACAGTACACAGTATTGAAAAATTGTAATATATTTTTCGAACTTCTTTCATCAATAACTTTTTAACAAACAATGAGCGACGGCTAAAACGTTCTGAGAGTTATTTAGGAGGGTGATCTCTACAACATATGTCAAGGTCAAGATAATCGGAGGGTGGTCCGTTATTCTGCATAATTATCGTTGGACCGCGCCCAAAATAATTAATTTCCCAAAAACTATCTAACTATGCGAATATCGCAAAACGGCACAGGATTTTCTCACTTACCTCAATCCGTTCTACGTTCTCACAAAGTGTGATCATGGAGGTCTCAGACAAAGATGCCACTTTTAGCTTTTATACCAAGTAGCAGCGTGTAGAAGGGATACGTACACAAACGAGCGACAGTGTACGTGTACGCTCGACTCTTAGGTCGTCGAAGCTTGTTCACCGGCTAGCTTGTGTGCGTATCCTCTCCACACTGCTACTTGCTGTAAGTAAGTTAAAAGTGGCATCCTTGGTCTGAGACACCCTGTATATATATCGTGCTTGCGTCGTTCATCTATTGTATTATATGCCATTAAAAGTTCAATTTTTACACGTAATTTATAATAACAGAAGTTTTTTTTTCTTTATTTATTCTCTCGATGTTTCAGCGAAGTGTTCGCATTGGTAATCTATCTGTCGTCTTTGCAGTCATGGCGTACATGGAGATGTTTGGAAATTGCTCCCACAGTAATAACGACTTCATCTCTGGTCTCGGGACCCGTCATTCCGTAGCAGCTTACAATTCGATGCAAGCGGAATGGCAGCAACACGAGATGGCTCTTACCACAACTCAATCGTGTTCCTTCATGACACACACTGCTGTGACTGCTCTACATGACAGCTCAAAGTATGCATTGTCACAAAAATATACGTCGTAAAATTTAAATATATAGAAACCCTGTCTAGATATAGCTTCCGGAATGGAGCCGTGTCTTGAATCAGCGATATGCCGACGTTTCGCAAACGTTGCAGTTTGCATCATCAGGGCTGAGAACTCTGATACTGAGCTCCCTTGGGTAAAGGTAGTCCTTATATGTCCCCCTCCCCCCCCCCTCCCTTTGTGTAGATGGTGTTTAGGGAGTAGGGGACGAGGCTTGGATCCAGCCAATCAGCGTATTTTAATTGATCAGCTGGTCAATTAAAAAACCGGGAGGGCAGTATGCCAAATAGATTCAAGACACGGCTCCATTCCGGAAGCTATATCTAGACATTGTATCAATGGCCGTGAAAGCCTCAAATCTAGTATATAGAAACCCTGATGAAAATATTTTACTGAAAATCTATTTTAATTAATCCCTTTTCATTAAAATTCATTACGTTCATAAAATTCATTAAAATTTATTAAGTTTCTTTAAGATTAATTAAGGATAATTAAAGTTCATTAAAATTCATTAAAATTCGTAAAATGTATTTTATTGTTATATAACAATAAAATTAATTTTATGAATTTTATTAAATCTTAATGAATTTTACAAATTTTAATGAATTTTAATTAATTTTAATTAATTTTAATTAATCTTAAAGAATCTTGATGAATTTTACGAATTTTAATGAATTTTAATGAATTTTAATTAATCTTAAAGAATCTTAATGAATTTTAATGAAAAAGGATCAATTGAGAGAGATTTTTAATAAATATTTTAATAAAATATTTCCATCAGGAAATACTTATAAATAATCTGGTATTTCAAAATAAAACATATTTAAAAGTCTATAGACAAATCTTATATATTTTAATGATATTTTAATATGATACAATGATATATATTTATCAAAAAATAACAAGAGATAAAAATTATTTCCTTCTCATGGAGCTCTGAAAATTTTTTCAGCATTTTTTAATTAACTTTTTAATACTGTATTTTATTGTATCTTCTTGAAGTACTAAAAAGTTAATTAAGAAATTCTGAAAAATTCTCAGAGCTCTACAAGAAAAAATAAATAATTTTTATCTCTTGCTATTTTTCGATAAAGTTGATAGAATTCAAGTAAAAAATTATTGAAACCAATAATTTTGTAGATATTTCCGTAAATATATATAGAATATAGAGGTCGTATAAAAATGTTTTCAAACAAAAGTTGTTTGTTTCTTTACGTAGAATAAAATTCCGTAATAAAAAATATATATTTCTATTTAAAAAAGAAAAGTTGACCTCCACCTGACGTTGGCGATGCCACTCAAGGTCAAACTGATAAGATCAGTAAATACATCTTTTTAGACTCTACTTTTGTATTAAGCATTTTTTTCGGAACTGCGTATTTTTCAAAATATTTAGGGGTTGCAAGTCTTTTGGGACACACTATACATGTATTAGATGTACAAACTAATTCGGTGCTTTTATTTGATAAAAAAAACGTTACATTTTCGATTATCATTATCTCCATTATTTTCAATGATTTTATGCTATTTTTTAAGCTGCTGAGTTATATCTTGATAAAAATTGGTTTTCGAAGGAAGTCAATAAAGTTATGTATGCATTTTTATTATTGCATTTTACATTTCTTTAAAGTGTACATCTTTATAATGTAATCTGTCCGGTGATGCTGTAACGGTCGAAACAGATGGTAATCTGAATAAGTCAAGTTTAACGAATTGCGTTAAGAAAATCTTCCCAGCCTAGATTAAAGATGTTCTTCTTGGTTCTTTTTGCTTTACATGTAGCCGAATGTTATCATGCAATAAATTAATATTTCGGTTTCTTTGCTTAATAATCTGTTTTTATTTCCTAATCCATCGTTCAATCGATTAAATTGTTACTGACAACCGTATTTGAACAACTTACGTGATTATTTTCTATTTAAGAAGCAAAAAGTATATCATGAGGAACATGTACACTATCGATGACACTTGTTTATTAACATCTTTTATATTAATGTTTTATATTAATGTTGCTCGTTCTGTTATTTTATAGAGAGTTTGATAAACAATATTAATTAATAAACAATATTAAAAATACTTCAAATCTATAATAGCGTAGTAAAACATTTAAATGATATTTAGAAACGCATAAAATTAAAAACACCGAATTAATTTCTACATCAATAATAAGTACAATAGCTTCACTTGGAAAAGTTTATTTATATATATAGTATTATAATAGAAATTTACAAGGTGTAAATTAATACCTATTACTTTTGGAGCATGTAGGAGGATTATAGTTAATAAATTTTTCATTAAAAATTCATGTCAGGAAAGGAATTGTATTTCTGTGCTACAAATAAGATAACATTCGTGCGTCTCGTGGTAAATATTTTGCACATTTTTAGTTCCACCGGATTGTCTGTTTGCAGGGGTAGCTGTACCATAAACGTTGATTTGGTATTTTAGATTTTTTAGCTACAAGAGTTGCTCAAAGTACTGACTTTATTATAAATACTCCAGCTACGAATTATGTTCTAGTATACTCGTTAAAAAATGCCTGGATTGTTGGATATTTTGCGTTACAGTTGCAATTATTGCTATTAATTCTTCTTCAGACTCGATAAAGCTTTTATATACTAAATTGTGTTTCCACAAGAAGCAGTCTTTGTCGGAGACATCTTTGTTCCAAGATGTAGGACGGAAACATAACGTTTCCGGACATGAGTTTATAATAAAAAAAAAAAAAATGATGAACTATAATTTCTCTATGTGCTCTAAAAGTTTATAATACATACACTTTATTCATTTACACTTTGTATAATATACTAACAAGGAGATGCATGGAACCATTCCTCTCCGATTCGAATGAGCTTGAAATATGTTGTAATGCAGACTAAAATAAGGGACATGTATTTTTTTTATACATACCCAATTGCATTTTCAGAGGGTGAAACACTTTGAAGGAAAATCGATATTTCTCTTTCGGAACATGCACCGTCAAAAGTATAAGAAATAGAAAAAACTATTTAAACCAAAATTGAATTGTTTGAAGTGTACTTTACAATAGTGTTTTTAGTTTTAAAATAATGTTAAAATGTTAAACTTATCCCCACCACTCACCAATTTTTTTTATAATTTAAAAATTTTGTTTCTACTAAATGAAAGGATTTTTTATTCCGAATTTAACCATGTATGATAAAGACATTTTCCGACATACGGACTCTTCAAAAAATAGATGGAAACACGTCTATATACCCGTAGCGCTATATGTAGCCGCCTATTTCACGCCATACATATACGTAACACTTCTCTTCGTAACTTCCTCATAGTAAAAGACTGATAATACTGAAGATAGTACTGATATACAGAATATATAATCATAAAACATTTCAATATATAACAACAACAATAAAATTAATTATTTTATGCACAACAATAGTCATATTCAGGGTGTCCCGCATAAGACGTACGAAAAGAATAATAGAATATTAAGTGTACAACTTTGCTTTCGCCGTTTTTTTTTCCGAAATTCGAGGCTTTATTGTAAAAAACTGCTTATATATTTATGATTCAAAGTATTGTCCATTGGTGGCCATTACTTTCTCCCATCTTTCGGGCAGCGTACGAATCTCGCGTCGAAAAAACTGGTCATCTTTTGAGGCGATCCACGAATCGATCCAATTTTTTACTTCTTCATAAGACCGGAAGTGCTGGTCAGCCAGGCCGTGTGCCATTGATTGAAACAAGTGATAGTCAGAGGGAGCAACGTCTGGAAAATACGGCGGGTGGGGTAGGACTTCCCATTTCAACATTTCCAAGTATGTCTTGACCACTTTCGCAACATGGGTTCGAGCATTGCCATGCTGCAAAATCACTTTATCGTGTCTCTCGTTGTATTGCGGCCGTTTGTCTTTCAATGCTCGACTCAAACGCATCAATTGCGTTCAATCACCTGTGATTGTTTCAGTCGGTTTTAACAGCTTATAATACACTACGCCGAGCTGGTCCCACCAAATACAGAGCATGACTTTGGAGCCGTGAATATTCGGTTTGGCCGTCGACGTGGAAGCATGGCCGGGAACTCTCCATGATTTTCTGCGCTTGGGGTTATCGTAATGAACTCATTTTTCGTCCTCAGTCATAATGCGATGCAGAAATCCTTTCCGTCTTTGCTTTTCAAGCAGCTGTTCACAGCAAACAAACGACGTTCAACATCTCTCGGCTTCAATTCGTACGGCACCCAATTTCCTTGCTTCTGAATCATTCCCATGGCTTTGAGGCGTTTTGAAATGGTTTGTTGAGTCATTCCCAATGATCGTGCCAATTCTTCTTGATTTTGACATGAGTCTTGATCAAGTAATGCCTCCAATTCTACATCTTCGAAAATCTTCTCTCTTCCACCGCTATGCCGGTCTTCGATGTCAAAATCACCGTTCTTGAAGCGTTGAAATTACTCACGACACGTTACTTCTTTCACTAATAGCGGCCTCACCATAAGTATTTGAGAACATTCGATGAGCCTCAGCCGCAGATTTCTTCATATTGAATCAGAAAATTAAAACCTCCCGCAAATGACGAGAATTTGGCTCGTAAACTGAAATTTTCAATCGAGAATAACTTTATGATGCAGACACAAATCGACTAATATTTCTATGGGGTCTTCGTCGACCGCGGCGAGCCGTATGTCCCACCTGCCGCGTCGCCGCGCTCTGATATGTTCAACTATTTTAATTAATATCTCGAAATTTTACGTGGTTGTTTGGAAAATGACCTATATAATTTTTGTTCACTTTTATGTATTCTACTTTCTGTATACTACTTTTATGTATTACTTTTATGTATGCAACTTTGCTTCCGCCGTTTTCCTATAGATGGCTTTAGCGGTAAGTGGTGGTCGAAATAAATAGATCATAGACGTCATACAATAAACTTGGGCATCTGTCAACATAATCCCATCCCCTGAAGAAAATGGACGATTGCTCGCGGGCCTATCTTATAGGCCAAAGAGGTGGACCGTTTGGCATATGGAAATGGGTAGCTCCGTGTGTGCGTACGTGTATGTGTGCGCTCGTTCGTTTTCTTCGCCGGCCGCGGCGAGCCGTATGTCCCGCCTGTCGCGTCGCGCGCTCTAATTTGTCCAAATATTTTTATTAATATCTCGAAATCTTACGTGGTTGTTTGAAAAATATGTATATACATATTTTGAAACTGAAATTTTATTTATGAGAAGTTTGTGTGTGTCTATTTTTGTAGTGCGTAATTGTAATAACTGTTGATGTAATTATTACGAAGGAAACGATACACGGAGTTGTATGGTCATGTTTATTAACTCAAAGATACCACAGATTACATATATTAAAAACATCACATTGATAAAATCATGCGTGGCATAATTGTATGCATGATATTAATTGCAAATATGTTATACAGAGTGTCCCGCGTAAGATGTGCCAAAAGAAAAATATAAGTAGAACAGATAAAAGTGAACAAAAATTATAGAAGTCATTTTTCAAACAACCACGTAAAATTTTGAGATATTAATTAAAATAGTTGGGCATATCAGAACGCAAAGACGCGGCAGGCGGGGCATACGGCTCGCCGTAACCGGCGAAGAAAATGGACGAGCGCACGTACACGGAGCTACTCATTTCAGTATGCCAAACGGCCCACCTCTTTGGCCTATAAAATAGGCCCGCGAGCAATCATCCATTTTTTTCGCCGGCCGCGGCGAGCCGTATGTCCCGCCTGCCGTGTCGCCGCGCTCTGATATGCTCAACTATTTTAATTAATATCTCGAAATTTTACGTGGTTGTTTG